TTGCAGCACGTCCAAATGCACCAGTGATCATCCAGCAACTGCCAATTGCGCTGATAGAGGAGTGGAGTGCCCTACAACAGGAACTCATTACCAACCTCGTAGAAAGTATGAAAGACTGATTGCGCATAGCATTTATTGCTGTCCACGGTGATCACACACCCTATTAGGAACCTTGAAGTACCAGGATAAAACGTGAAGACTTACGCGTAATCACTGCCCTTGAATAAAAATTTCTCTGCTCGTCTTATTTCGATTTTCTGGCAGTTGCTTTCTGTGCAATACCATCGTGGTCCTCTCTTAGTATGATATAAATTTCATCGAGTTCTGCTGTTTAACAGAGGTACAGTGATCAAAAGTGGCTTTCGTCCCTAGGTTTTACAAAACAGTGTATCATCCCATCGGGCGAAGTGTTCATTCATAAAAGGAGCCTATCGCAGCATCGCAAACTCAGAATACTTGTAATGCACTGTTTGCATATTTTTTAGCTTGCTTTCTTGTAAGTGCTCACAAACTTTTGCTCTTACCGTGGCTATGGATCATGTGGTTGAAAGTTTGACTTACACATGACCAGGGATACAAGCAGCAGTTGAGAACCGCCCTTCTTTGAAGTTCGAATCCATTCTGCCTTCAGTAAAGACATCCTTTCGAGGTCTTTCCAGCCCACCAAGTACGACTTTGAGCATTGCAATTCATCATTGAATGGATAAGGATAAGGATGGCGAATAAAGCTTTCGGAGTTGATCGGTCCGGTTTTCGGGCTATCCTCCGCTGGAATCGAATGGTTTATGTGGCTCATATCCTGAAATAAGATGGCCAACCGGTGAACAAGTCCGTGCTTAGGTTCTCCTAGATGAGTCTTTGTGAATACACGGACCTCGGAGTAGTGGGATGTCTGCTCGGCTTAGGCAACTATCCTTCCTGAATTCGGTTCTGATCAGACTATGCTTTTGCGATAGTGTCTTTTGTCACTACGCCACCAGCATCCATTAGATGGGTACTTCGAATTAGATATTTTTTTACGGTTTGAAATTTCTGCTCCTATTGGCTGTCAACTGTAAGTTAGGCGGCGTTTAGATAGGCGATTTCTTAAAACAAAACATAATTGTTCTAATACATAGCCTCATAACTGAATATATCTGTTTAGAAGTTTCTTCAATGACCTCAAAGAGAAATGTCGTCAACGCGGAATGTCGGTCGCTAGTGAGCCACTTCGGGTATGGAATTCGATAAACTTTTCATTGGATGTTCATACCGTCATAGTTCCTTCACCAAGTGCTTTAGGTATACTTCAATGTGAAAGCGGAAAGAGAAGAGTTCAAGCGTTTCGTCAAAGATGCGGCTGATCGTTTTTCAAAATTGGCAGACGGGAAAATATTGTTGTTACTAGTGATAAACGAAGAACAAAATATACCCGACCGGGATATGTTCGATAAAGGGCCTTCTTATGGTAAGAACTTTTCAGCATTCATGAATTCCCAGGGTGGGTGGTATAGTTCATCGAGCAGCACGTCCAAGTTCCGGCTGGTAACTTTGCTCCACGGCTTAATCATTTCAATTAATACAAACTTGGTTACGGCATACACAGCATTCCTTTAGAGGGGAACATACCCTCTCAAAGGTTACTACGATTCCGAGTTGGAGTCAAAGGCGGGGCGTACCCACCAAAGGAGAATTGATCAATCACGAAGATTGTGCTCCTTCCGGCTGTCGGCCTAGCTTCGCGCACCACTAGACACTCGCTACTACAATGAATTATTTAATTGTTTTCAGGGTTGATAAAGTCAGTATGCGACAACGAGCACGGAATCGCTAGTCAAGTCGTAGACGCCTCAACTGTGAGGAAAGCCACATCAATTGGAGAAAAGTGCTTTGTTTGAAAAGTTTTTTTTTAATAATTTAGAATAGTAGAAGTCTGAGTTGAGACTTTCAGGACAATTTACTACAATATCGCATTAAAAATCAATGCAAAACTAGGTGGAGTAAATCAGGCGGTTGTTTTCGACGACGAATCTCAGTTCAGTCTTTTCCTCGATTTCGTTTTATTACAAATTTTTCCGTTGATTCTGGTTGATTTAAGGTCTGCCGAAGTTTCGGATAAGGATGCAGTTATGTATGTGGGAATCGATGTAACCCATCCAACCAATTTGAGTACCATAGACATTTCGATTGCCAGTATTGTAGCAAATGTCGATTTGGCTGCTACACGGTAGGTATAGTTGGGTAAAGGCACAGTTCACGGTAGTCGTGTGGTATCTGGCTTAAGTGGAATATTGGGGCTTAAGGTGCAGAATAGAGCAAAAATCGTAAAGAGAGCGCGAAAGTAGGTGGATTTTTCCAGAAATCGGTCCACCCACCACCCTCTTTCTCCAGAGATATAAGGCTCTGAAAAGCTACGGAGGAAGGGATTGTACGAGATTATGTGCCTGTAGCCGTCTGGGTCTCTCCCACATAAGCGTACTGTTCGTCGGCGTACTAACGCTTCATTATGAATGGTGCAGCCTTAACAAAGCCATTACAACATAGCCATTTTTGGGTGTAAGCACGGGGAACCCGGTCTTGAAGCACTCATTACGCCCTATCTAAGACGTTTTTCGGCCGACCATGTCCCATCTACTGTCCTATACCTTCGTTCAAATGTTCATCCTTGGGGTGTCTCGGAAACCATTTTCTTCATGAACCCTTTGAGGTTTTCAAATTTGATGGCATTGTTACATAACCGTTCATTATTTAAGGTACACAAATGAAATCATGGCTCAGATGGCTGCCAGGGAGACGGTTGAACGTTTTGAGACGCAATTTGGACGACTAATGATGAAATTCCATAAGGTTGTTCCCAATATTCAGTTGCTAAAGTTCGGGTAAGGAATAGCAACAACTACTGCCTAGCTGACACCAAGTTGCCGCACGCGGCGCGATGACCTGGTCTCAGCGCGGCGTCCCCTTTGTCGCCTCCTGACCCAGTTACTGGGACTACAATCTGGATATCTTCTTTTTTCATTTTCAGCATTCAAAAGTCTGGCCACGGCACATAGTCATATTCCGCGATGGAGTTAGTGATTCAGAAATGCTAAGAACGGCTTCTATTGAGCTCAAATGTATACGGTACGCTCGCTTTGTTCCTTTTTTTTTNTTTTTTTTTCAAAAATCGATTTAAAAAGGAGATTATGAACTGAATGACTTCTCCTTTAACGTCCTTTTGAATCGGCATGTGTGCAGTGAGATAAGCTGTAGGAGGCACTACTTTACTGAATTGCGCACCGTTCTTGATAGCGCCCTTAGTTTCTGTGCTGATTGTCAAATAAGTTGTGTTCAGCTCATGTTGACCTCTCCGTTTAATTACAAGCTACCGTTCTTTTCCTTGATTTTAGATATTTCTTTTCCTTGATTTTAGATATTATTTACTGTTTTGCAAATTAAATACATCTACCAGTATGAAGCGAAGGTGATTATTGGCAATTAGCGCACAATCATGCACGCCCACATGAGGGTTCAAATCCTGGTTAGGTACTCGCCTGAGCCAACTGGGTCTTCCATCCCACCGGGATCGGTTAGTTGGTGCTTGACTCGTACAGTCATTGTCGGCCAATACTCTTCAAATTGCTGCGATTCTGAATGGAATACGAACGCTAAGGCGCACACCCAGAATCTCAAATACCGGGTTGATGGATACCAGAGCCTCCTAGATTTTTATGTTAAGCGGAGAAGGTGGATTGGAACTGGCAGGCATTCTTACCGGCAGATCTTTCTGGATACAAGTCCACTGATCCAATACTCGTAATTGAGTGAATACTTACATTCTTACAAGTCGCATACCAACATACCTGTTCCCTCTATTCCATAGGAGTAGGACAGGGGCGAATTTGAAATCAGGCCATGGAGAGTTTTTTTCAAGCGGAATAAGGTTTTAATAATAATATCCAAATGGTAGTAGAAAATTAAAATGTTCATATTGTGTATGTATTAATTCTGTAATATTAATATAAGCATTAGTTTTAATGCTATTTTTGGCCATGAATAAAGGGACAAAGTGGCAGTGACACTTTAGTAATGCCTTTTTTTTCAGCGATTCATGGAACAAACTTACGTTTGAAAACCCACAGTTGGAGCCGACTTTCACCTACATCGTTATTCAGAAGCGACACCTTACGAGGTTCTATCAGCCGACTAACAATGATAAAGGGGAAGAAACGTGAGTTTTTTTCCCGGGGAACCAATTTTTCATCAATGTTGTCTTTGCTTAAGGCGGAGGTGGTGTAGTGGCATGTGTCGCCTTATCTCACACGCATGGTCACGGGTTTGAATCCCGTATCGATATCCCCCTAGACCAGCCAAGCCGTCCATCCCATCGGTTAATTGGTACCAGGCTCGTATGGGAGTATAAAAGCCCTGGCTTGTATATCGCTTGGACAACGCAATTCATTGTATAGGCCACATATGCAATCACTACGACACTGCGATTTTGAATGGAAGTCAAATGTGGGGGCGCATACCTCAGACGGAATTGTTTGATGCCAAAAGATTTTGTTTTCTTTATGAACACATGTTTGTAAATATTGCTACTTTTCATCGTGTTGGCTTTTTTATTTTATTTACCTTTTTTTCTTGAAGGTATGTGAATGTGTCATCCGGTACAGTAGTTGACAACGTAGTGGTTTCTCCAACGTTTTTCGACTTTTATCTAGCGTCTCAGATAGGAGCCCTGGTAAGTTAGGAGGTGAAACTAGTAAGTTTTTCGATATTGACTAGCTTTTTAAGGGTACAACTCGTCCAGCTCACTATACAGTTGTTTGCGACGATTGGATGTTAACTCCGGATAAAATCTACGTTAGTTCTGGTCACCGTAGCCAATTTTCCACATTCTGATGGGTCAACATTGTAGGAAATGTGCTACCGTTTGTGCTTCCTATACGCCAGATGTCGAATACCTGTCTCATTACCATGTCCAGTCTATTACGCACATCGCGTANATGTTAACTCCGGATAAAATCTACGTTAGTTCTGGTCACTGTAGCTAATTTTCCACATTGTGATGGGCCGTCATTGTAGGAAATGTGCTACCGTTTGTGCTTCCTATACGCCAGATGTCGAATACCTGTCTCATTACCATGTCCAGTCTATTACGCACATCGCGTATGTGAAAAAGCCAAGGAAGTCTATAAGTCACTAGACAGGTAGGAAATAATTGACCACAATAGAATTACAGTAAATGAACTTGGGCGTATCCCAAAAACGGCTACAATCCTAGCCAAGCCTGGTAATCGACCCCGGAGAGATGGAAGATTGATTGACCTAAGTGGACGTCATTCGGGGATGTGGTCCCGGGAACTGGTATCCGTGAGTTTTAATGCGTCACCTGCCACTACAGCTCTCCCGCCTTTTCCCGCAATGAGAAGAGGAACCTTACAAAGCAACTTCCTAAGACCGGCTCCTAAAATTCATTGAAAGTCTACGTAATAACGTCCAATACCTGATGAGCGATCATCGTTGTGCTCAAAATAGTAGGCTCATTCAGAGTGGTTCAAGGTGATAGCATTATGGTGATTTGGAAATGCTCTGAAGCGACTATTCAACGGCTCAGTTCACGATAATTTCGGGGTATCTGGATTTAGACGAGTAGTGGAATCGGTAGTTCAGAATACTTTGAAGTGGTAACGAAAACGCGAAAATCGGCGTATGCAGAGAAATATAAAGTTCCAAAAAGTGTTCTAGTTGAATGAGGGGTTGTACGGGAATGTGACGACAAAAGTTGCATGGAAGCGATATTTGGACGAGCTATCTAAATGTGTGTGCCACTGCTCAGTGCTGGCTAGCAGTAAACTGCTTGTGTTTAACGTGTCTTTCCCGGTACGAATAGTACAAACTACACAGCCGCTACGACGCCGTGAGAACTCGTCCGTCTTGGGTGTGTACATTGGCTTAGCCGGTTTTGCGGCCCTCATTACGCCCTGTCTGGGCCGTTTTTCGATTCGACAGTGTCCCTTGTGCTCATCCCTTGTGCTCCTTGGGGTCGCACGATCATCGCAGGAACAAATCTCAGGAACCATTTTTATCGTAAACCGTGCTTGGTTTGTGTTATTGGATTGTTATTGGATTATTCAATGAAGTTCAGCACCTACAAAACAGCTAACACTTTCCGTTTCCCATGTTTGCGTTAGGGGTTGATGGGTACAGGGGCACGCAACCGTTGAAGCGACAACAGCAGTCCACCAATTTCCGCTTTTGATTTCTACTTGCAGTGCTGTTTGTTTAAGTGGTTTCACTCCCGATCAGACGAACCTCTGTGATTGAAAAGAGTCGATCAGCTCAAGTGTAGAATGATTTCAGTGCTCACACATTTGATGGCCTCTCTGAGATGGAGAAAAAGCAAAAAATTGAACAATGCCTGACTGTACCAGAAAACTATCCTGGAATGCATTTCGTCTAGCAAGTGTCTTACCACTGACTTTTTTCCTCATTATTTTATAACCATTGTAGCTGTTTACATCAGTACTTCCTATAGCAGTTTTTTACCATTTTACCCTCTGAATTCACCCCAGAAAGGCGTTTTTTATCGTTTTTCCTTCTAATATACTGGCCTAGGAACTCAATTTCCTTTGGAAGAATTTTTTTCTTGGCTCAACAAAGCTGAGTTCACTTATTTCCCTCACCATAACTTTCTCAGCCATTTTCCTTACTCACTAACCTTGTCAAGTTGTTAGTTTGAAATGTTTCACCATGTAATAGTGCTAGTCTCATGCTGTTCCTTGTTTTTGTTTATTTAATTGATTTGTTTGTTTATTGTAAGTTTTTATTTTGTTAACCTTCAGCTTGAGTTCTATAGTTGTAGAAAAATCTTTAGACAACGAGCCATCGCACGGGATCAAGATTGCGTATTTTGGCTTTAATGTAACTATTTGACTATTGTAGTCACTCAATGTCCGCTAGTAGTTAATAATGGGGAAGTTTACTGGTATTGTTTATTGGCTTACATTGTTAATTTTTGTCGATGATCATTTTGTATATTTTGAAATTTTATATAAAGTCCAGAAGAAAATGGTCCCATGGTGTGCTACTATTAATGGATATGCTTAAAAAGCTCAGGTATCTCTTACCTACTCTATGGTCAAAAGTTAAAGAATGAAAACCGCGGTGTTAATAAGTCGCCGAAGACGAAAAAGTTGCAGAAACCCAAGCAGTACTACCATTTTTGTATCCCCTGATTTTTAAAGTTGTTCTAGTTGTCTAGGGGTGATACATACAATACCTTGACATTCACAACGTGGTCCTTACAGAGGTGATGGCCATTTCTAGGCGTTCTGGGCGACGGTGGGCATCTGAATCCGGTCTACACCTTTCTCGTGCCATTATGGGTGGCTAGAAATCCCTCTGTTCAGGTACAGAGTTAGGTCCCAATAAGTTAGCGAGAAACTTGTTTCACTGCTGATTTTGTCGTGGAAGGTTCGGAGGGTGGACGGTGTGGTGCCAGAAGTTGCTAATTACTGGTTTGGTTCCATCTGTTTCCAAAGAAGCGTTCCTCTCTCTGAGAACAGTTTTATTGTAAAAAAAAAAACAAAAAATTGTTTTAATTTGATCTTTCTTAACTGCTTTTTCAACGCCGCAGTACGCGAAGCGAAAGTTTCACGAGGTTGGCGATTTATGAAGAAAACTTCAGTCTCGGACGGGACTCGAACACGCACTTGTCCTTTCCGGGGACCATGCTCTGATCCCTTACACTACCGAGACCACGCTTGCCCTCGCCTTCTTAATGGCTTATATGCCATAGCTTATCAGCACTCACACGTACAATATGTTGAGCCGGTCGACCAGTATCAAGAAGGCGAGGGCAAGCGGGGTCTCGGTAGTGTAAGGGATAGAGCACGGTGCCCAGAAAGCACAAGTAGGGATTAGAGTCCCGTCCGTGACTGAAGTTTTGTCCATAAACCGCCAACCTTGAAAAAAAATTGTGTTTTACTTTTTTTTTACAAATTCGTGAGAGTGTTGAAAAGAGTGGATTAAAATGTTTTCTAAAATTTTTTCAGTAACATTACTGTTAGTTACTGCCCTATCCAGGAGAGTACTTCGAATCACGGTACGGGGCTATGGAGACGTAACTGGCATGGTGGCCATGTGATTGTCTTCAAAATAGATCGAAATGGCAGCCGGAAGATTTCGATAATACTTTATTGTGGATGGGTGCCAAGTGTACGGCGCATTCCAAAACATGATGAGCATGCGCATGAGTTGGATCAACTTACACACCTTTCTTTTGAAATTTCATAATCTAGCAATATCTGTCCTAGCCTTCAACCAAACTTTTGCTTTTGAAAGTATGCGTAGAAATAGAACTATGGTGTGGGTATGATCTGAAGGTGATTGTTGTTTACTACGGAAATGATACAATTTATTAAGTAGCTCAAAAAAGAGGCGAGTTTTCATTCTATATTAGAAAAATTTCAGTAACAAATTTTAATAAGCTCGAGGCACAGTTCACGATAATTCTGAGATGTCTAGCTTTACTAAAATAATGTGCAGAATGTCGGCACGCAAAATCGGCGGATTTTGAGAAATATAAGGCTTCAAAGAAGTCGTAAGAAGTGTACAAGATTGTGCCCGTCAACGTCTGAAGGTCTCCCACATAAGTGTACTAGTCGTCGGCGCCCTCACCTTCGATTGTTAATGGTACACCCTCTACAGAACGTGAGAACTCGTCCTACTTTGGGCGTTTTTGTCGGCCAAGCAGGTTTTGGAGCGCTTTGACGCTCGTTCGATATCATTTTCCGACCCGACAATGTCCCACATGCTCTTCTTGGGAGCCGCATGTTCATCATAAGAGGGTGGGGGAGGGGGGGGGGGGGNGGAGGAGGGTTCTCCAAACCCTTTTTTATCGTGAACTGTCCTTTTGGCATTGCATACACAATCGATTGAGAATAAAGTATGATTCAAATTTGAATCACGTACATCATCATAATCGTCATCATATCATCAATTAATACACTGAAATCGAAAGCTGCATTTTACTAAAAAAATTAAGTGAGTTTTCGTTACCCGGCTGACGAAAGATCAATATTTAATCTTGTGCGCCTTTCGTAGCTGATTGATAATGCCCACTTTGAGAGTAAGCCGTGGAAATGGAAGTCGATGGACAAGATATGGGAATAGGTATGTGGATTCCGATGGAGTGAAGCGTCGAAAGTCGTTCGTCTGAAAGCAAATGAGCACAGTCAGTCAGTCATGGGCAGGTCTCTAAGTTTATAAAAAAAACTGGTTGAATTCGAATTCTCTTTACTGTAATATTGATTTCACATGTCTCCCATTCATGCAAAAGTCTCTCATTCATCACTCACTCATGCCAAAAAGTCCAATCAATCAGAGTAGCAATGAGTTTTTGTCTGAACCGCCGATCAACTCATCGAGGGACCGTCCTCAAGAACTATTCCATGTCTTTGCGTTGGGCCCTCCTCGCGAAGAATCTCTAAGTAGAACATTTCGGAGATGTCGGGGAGGGGACTGAATTATAACGTTTCGAGACATAGTGAACTGGTAAGCGAGAAAAAGTCAAAGTGTGAGGAAGAACTAGTTTTTCAATCTTACGCAAAAAGTTAAACATAGGAAAGGTTCTATGGGGTATTAAAGTTGGAGCAGTTTGTTCAGGAGGAGACTTTCGAGTTCAGAGGACGGAGGAGCATGACTGGGAATGTGATGGAGAAGGTTGTCACCCCAATATGCTTACTGTCCGTATCTACGGGAGAACATACCAACCAACTTTCAGATAAAAAGTAATTTCCAATTATACTGGTAATGTCACCTCACCATTACGGCATATCCGGCTCCAGACAAAGCAGTAGTGAAGAAGACACAAATCAAACTGAAAATGATGACGATCCGCATAGTTTTTGCCGGAATGCTTTGCAAGATCCTCAGGCGAACTGACCGACAAATATTTGCTCCTGACCACCGTATGAGACATGTGAGCAACAACCGCTGCACAATGCACTTTGCTTCAAGAACTTGAGCAAATAATGCTTGATTCAGGTCGAATGCATCATTGGAATTCAGTATTTACCGAAGAGAAACTGGGCAACCTTGAATGCCTATGACCGTGTATGTGTCTTTGCGACATTCATAACAACTCTAACGTTTTCCCCGACAAGTTCAACACTGTGGATCTGGTCTCTGGATTATAGGCCACCATATGTAAATCTACCTCAAGAACCGGTTCTCTGCTACTGGTCGTTTTTGCAAAAATTCAGTGTATCAATCGCTTTCTGAATGTTTCGACAGATGTTCAGACAGATGCTTATCATTCAGGATTTATTTTTTGTCATAGGAAATTGACCGAAAAATTAATACCTTGTTATAAATTAAAGTAATATATGGTTTTTAGAACAATTAGAGCATAAGACGCATAAAAATTACTATAATCAAGTACAATCTCAGTTGAATCGACGAAGAAAGAAAAATTCCGAGGAAATCGGAACATGCCAGCAAGAACGTTTCGGAAAAAAAGCTAAAAAATGTCGGTATCGTTTTGAATTAATGTTTTGTTAACAGCTATAGCTACGATTAAAATGTTTAACAAGGTTGGCGAGTAATTGGCAAAATTTCGGCATTGGATGGGACGGACCACATTAAAGGCACAGTTCACGATAATTCAATGGGCGGGAACATCAATGGCTTTCCCGCCTCTCGTCGATGCCACGTCATCACGTCAGACGAGTGTCGAGACAATACAGATTGCAAATTTTCGTTCTAGGACGCACACACAATCAGCTGTCGCCGAGTGATGAGGCGATGTTTCTCTCCCACTCTTTTTCCTCTGTTATTCTTTCTGCTGCCGCGATCCCTTATTTAGTTCCAGGACCCACACGCACGCAGTGAGACACGCTGTATAGCTCGTCCAAACGCCCCACTCTCCTTCATTTTTCTGATCTCATTCTCGTCCAGCCCTCTGTTTAACGGTTTTTCGAAGCCTTTTTTCACTTTAGAAACACCGATGCACGCAGTTTCTTCACCTCAGTCCCCCTAGTTTCGATCTTGTCTTCCATTTTTCAACATAATCTGGATTACCCAAAATTAGCGTGAACTGTGCCTTTAAGAAGGCGAGAGAAAACGAGGAACAGGCAGAGTCTTTGATGGAAAGCACGGTGCCAGTAAAGCACAAGTACGGGTTCAAGTCCAGCACAAGACCTAAGTTTCGCAGATAGCCCGCCAACCTTGTGGGATTTGTTGACTTTGTTGATTAGAACCAGAAGGAGAACGTCCTGTGATTGTGCCTGTGCTACGGTAATCTTCCAACTAGATGGGAAATGGCTATAGTACGCTGAATGTAACAGTTTGATAGATAGATCTGATGCTTATTTCTATTTTTCTAAGTTTAATATTCCCAACTTTTCTCACTTACATTTCCATTCCCACCCTCATTTTGTCCATGTTTGACTAAAAATTTTTCTTTCCAGCTATCCTGGCTCCTTTCCTGAGAGTTACGAGAGCTAGTCAGAGTTCAAGCTCACTGTCTTTACAGAATTAGTGCTTAGATTGTTTTACATTGATAGAATCAACTAAATAGTATTATTTACATCTAAATCACTCCAATTGCAAACGTTTGGGATAGCCTTCTCATACGCTGGAGAGATAACGCGCTCCAATGTTAAATTCGCTGCTCAGCCGCTTCCCGATTTTCTCTCACTGTTCGGGGTTACCTCGATTTCAGAGATTCCTTTGTTGTCGTTCGAAAATGAACGTTCAAGCAGCTTTTCCATTCGATTTGCTCCATGCTGAAATCATTAATTACACAAAAGAGAGTGAAGAGCGACGAAATGCTGCCAAACTGGAATGGAAACAGGTATGGTTCTTGTTACCCTTTTTCTATTTAATATTATCATTGTTTCGTTTTTGTTTTTACAGATATCTTCTGGTTAGTACAGACAAGAACTATTGATCAAGCCTATTTTTCTAGAATTACTTTACTCCTATGGTGATGGGAAACCCTACATTCGTTTAGTTCGCAGAGTTAGGAGATAACAGTGATTAATTCATTCCATAAGATCTTTGGGAGTCCTTGCTAACAAGATAATGGAGCAACGAAAATCGCTGACAAATTGTTTTCTATTACTGACATGAGTGGTGGGCTTGTTAGCGTTGTATTTAGATTAAAGATTTCTTTTCTCGTGATGCAGGCTCTTTCGGTTAATTCTTCCTAGCATTTGCTTTCGAGAATTCGGAATCTCCGAATATAGAATCAAAATAATCCCTCAAATATCCGTATATCTGATTAATTAACTGTCATTTTCTGTGTTTAAGTTAAATACTCGTGAAGGTATCTTGCACACCCAAGCTTTCAGTAATGCAGCAAGTGATGTGCCGTCAGTTCGACATTACTTCAAAATACATTATATCTTCACTCACTATGTATAAATTGATAAACAATCTCAGTTTGCCACCATTGATCCTATTGTTTTTCATTTGATCAAGCCTTGTCAAGCTTCGAGCTAATACGGTGACATAAAAAAGAACTGTGTTAATCAGGTTGCCGACACATGTACCGATCTTGCGGACCTGGACAAGTATGACTCGCTGGTGCAGCTAGCATTTGCCCATGTAAGTACAACCATTGCCTGGTGTCTTTACTCTTACGAACTCATGAAGCTTAAGTTCAACTAATTAAGAATTCATATATCACTCAATTGGAATCCATGGGCTATCGAGTCGGATACGTAATGGCGGAACGTGTTTCCAAAGATGCGCCGAGGTTATTAACTGAGCTTGAAGTAAGTTCTCTTTGTCCCGGCTTTATCCAGTTAACACTACATGTTTTGTAGTTTGGAATCACGGTTTCAAATGCCTGATTCCAATTTGTCGCTTAAAACCTTACTGGACAAAGCATAATTATCATTTAATTGCTACTAATAAAAGGTGCGGAAAAGAAGGTCAGGGAGAATATAGAGGATAGTTCTTTATCGATCTTCGAGAAACTTGAGATGAGTAGTTCGCACCTTCTTTAAGTAGAAGTGTCAAGAGGGAATTTGATTTAGAGATCAACGAGAGCATGTATGTGTTATGTGTAGTAGCGTCTTTTGAAGTCTAATAAAGGCATATCTGGTAAACTTTTAGGTTGTCAAATTTATCTGCAAAGAGTTCTGGTCAGCAATGTTTGGAAAACAGGTGGACAACTTGAGAACAAATCACCAGGTAAGCTCCGTTCCAAACATACTGATGGTTTTTTTAAGCTTTCTCGTAATCACATAAGACATCATCATTCATTCCAGTTTTACTCAAGCTCGTTTTTTTGATAAAAGAGCTATTCTTGGAGTTTTTCGTGTCTGCTATTCTTATTCCTGATGGTTTTCTTGCTCTTCTACTCCTAACTTTGAGTGAATGGTTCTCAGGCGATATTAGATATCAAATTTATACGTAAACGCTGTGTGAGATCGTTATCAAATCCAGAATAAGCCATAACATCAGGAACATAAACCTCTCTTTTGTCTTTTTTCTTTTTTCCACCCTTACTATATGACTTTGTCTGACTCTGAAATATCTCTGTCCCTTTTACCATTGGTTCCCGAATTTCCTTAATGCAGCGTGTTCTGTAGCCATTTATGGTGGCTGTTAACATATGTAGTTGATGAAACTTGTTTATTGCTAATTATATCGATCCTGCAGTTCAAGAGATGATGTTGATGTTTTAATTGATTTATTGACCGATGTTTGAGGGTGTGTACGTCGTGCAAGACAACAAGTTCTGCACACTGCGATCTTTGGCAGAGGGTCAGCAGTTTGTGCGCGAAGCTGGAGCATTGGTCACATTCCCTTGCGGAGCTGTAAGAGGAGCTCTGGCAAATTTGAATGTGAACGCCGAAGTCACAGCTACTGTAGAAACTCTTCCTGCTGTTAAGTTTAATATTCAAATAGCCCAAAGAACCTGAGATGCGTGTCCATTGCCAGTTGCTTAACTAGTTTTTCTTTTTGATTAATCTAGTTATTTTTTGTGCTTTTATTATTCAACTTTTCCTGAAAGAACAGTTTCCTACCCACTTAAGCTGCTGACATTCTGTTCATAATGTGTGTGNGAATGTGAACGCCGAAGTCACAGCTACTGTAGAAACTCTTCCTGCTGTTAAGTTTAATATTCAAATAGCCCAAAGAAACTGAGCTGCGTGTCCATTGCCACTTGCTTAACTAGTTTTTCTTTTTGTATTAATTTAGTTATTTTTTGTGCTTTTATTATTCAACTTTTCCTAAAAGAACAGTTTCCTACCCACTTAAGCTGCTGACATTCTGTTCATAATGTGTGTGACGCGTTTTCAAAGATTTTATTTGCAATCGTCGGGTACTTTACGCTGTGATTCTCGTCCTATATCGAATAAAATCTTTTTATTTATCCTCATTTAACTGACTGACTCACAGAGGGAAACAGTGAGGAATCCGGTTGGGTTTTTCCGAGGATGAAAGATTTAAAAGCGTGCCGGACATTCGGGTGAACCTACTTAACTTCTACATAGAACACGTTGAATCAGCGTGGAAAGTGGTCTTAGGAGTTGCAGCATGCATTGGTCGGGATCAAATGCAACTAAAAATGACCAGGACTCTATTTTCAATTCCGTCCAGGAAATGAAAGTACTGACTGCTTTCCCGTCGCTGGTCTCATTCTTCGTCGCAGACGAAGGACGCATTCAAATGCTGGAGGGATACATTGTGGAGATCATGTGCGTGATCCATTCAAAGCCAGATCAATTACCATAGGAACATCTCACTGTTTATTCACGGAAAACTGCTTTCTCAAGAAACGGGATGGGCATTATTGATCTGGTCCTAGGCAGAAGTGGCCCTCCTTACTGTCAGAATTATGGAACGTTAACTATGCCCAAGTTCTTATCCTAAGCAGGAACCCCGCGCCGTAGCAGATTTCACTGACATACTGTCGACAGAAAGAACTTGCGCGAGGGTTCTATTGTCGAGTGATGTCCTCGTCTTGTCACTGACATCTCCTGTGCCCATCGCATACATCTCCTCGGACAAGATCCTGTAAGGCAGGATTCTTGTACTTAATTTTCGTTCCTGTGCTTTCGATACACTCACTGAGGCTGGAGCCTTTACTGCACCTCTGAAACGTAAACTCATGATCTACTACGGAAACATACCTGAAAACTCCGTCTCTGATGGAGGCATGGTTCGAACTGGTGTCAAAACCCCATCCTGTGCCTTCCGGATGCCTGGCTTGTAGTACAATTCAGAAGAGTTCAAATTAATATTCACTGGCCTGGTTCAACGTAAACAGCTGACGTGTGCTGTAAAATTGATAGATAAACGATAGGAAAGTACTAATGAACTTTCACTTTGTCAGCAACTTTTTCGTTTCAGTGGTCTGCCTTTTTGCTTTGACTTGATGTTTTGTTAAAGGCACTGTTCACGATGATTCAATGGGCGGATGTGTCGATGACGTGTCCGCCTCTCATTCGANTCGAATGAGAGGCGGACACGTCATCGACACACCCGCCCATTGAATCATCACGAACAGTGCCTTTAAAGGCACAGTTCACGTAGAAACGGTTCTTGAGATTTGTCCCTAAAATGGATCTGTGACCTCTTAATAAGAGTTGTCAAACCGGCTTACCCGGGGGAGCCCATTCCGCGCGTCCGTCGAAATTCGGCCACACCGCCCACTTCGCGCTTGGCGCAACCCACTGGCGCAACCCACCGCAACACATTCATGGTCCGCCGGCCGGGAGTGGCGCTTACCACTTATTTACAACTGAATCTTGATCGATAGATACCGCAGGCCGAGAAGCCCCCCGAACGGCGCGCGCTCGCCGGCGGACTATGAAAGCACCCTCTGCGTTCTCGAGACGGCGTCGCAGTACCCCGAACTGTCAGTGGAATGAACGATTTGAACTGGTCCGTGTTATACCCACTTTGAGCTGCCTACTAGGTTACTCCTGCAACGGGCGACTGGCACCATTTTGCTTGCGACAAAGCCACCTGACCGATTATTGTACAAGTCACGGGACCGTTCATCGCACGCTCGTGTGCTCCGTAAAAATTATTGACATAGAAATAAAGAGAGCCGGCGCTTTCTTTGTTCTGAGGCAATCTCTTGCTTTCAGTTCTTTCCACTCAGCGGTGTTTATTAACAGTGAGAACAGTAACACATACGGTACTTACATATCTTAGCCAGCCGGAGGAGCTCAGCTCAACTGCCGAGTCCACATTCTATTTACTGGACTCATCGATGAGACGAGACTACGCTCGCCCTTGCGGCATGAATAGAAGAAGCAAGGGCGTCTAGAAGTGCAGCCATCTTGCATTTCTGGCGTTGTAGGTGAGTGCCAGCTCACTCGACTTCCTGTTTTTCGTTTTTTCCCGAGGATGATTTCCGTGCGTTAGCGGGGCATTCTCCTCAATTGTGAATCTCCAATTTGTGAAATTTTTTTTGGGTTCGAGGAGAAATGCCTTCTTAATGCACGGAAATCATCATCGGAAAATCGGTATTCGACGTCAGAAGCAATTGAGTCGAAGGAGGATTTCCCTGCCTAGTCCTTTACTGCACATTAGGAATAGGCAGCGTTAGGTTTCCCTGTGCCCGCCTCTTCAAGTTTCACCTAAGTGGGAAGCAGGAAGTAGAGCATATGGAAGTAGAACTCGGTAGCCCAGACGCATGTTTAAGCGCCGTCAGCTTACCCATTGCGGGAACTGGGTCGTCAAGCCCCGAATAAAGGCACAGTTCACGATAATTCAATGGGCGGGAACGTCAATGGCTTCCCCGCCTCTCGATTGATGTCACGTCATCACGTCAGACGAGTGTCGAGACAATACAGACTTCCACTATTCGTTCTAGGACCCACACACAATCAGCTGGTCGCCTAGTGATGAGGCAGTGTTTTTCTCCCATTCTTTTTTCCTTTGTTATACTTTTTGCTGCCGCGACCCCTTATTCATTTCCTATTCGTAGAGGCTGAAAAAGGTGAGCTACTTTCGCTGCTACTAGGGTTTTTTTTNTTTTTTTTGTTTACTTATGCTTATAAGTGAATCAATTTTCGCTTACCGTTGTCTGTTATTGTTATGTCTGTTGTTATTCGCGCTAGGACCAACACGTACGCAGTGAGACATATTGTCCAAACGCCCCACTCCTCTTCATTTTTCTAGTCTCATTCTCGCCCAGCCCCCTTTTAACGAGTTTTCGAAGCATTTTTTCACTTTGGAAACACCGATTCACGCAATTTGTTTACCTTCATCGCACTATTTCCGACCTTCTCTTCCATTTTTCATCATAATCTGCATTACCCAAAATTATCGTGAACTGTGCCTTTAAGAGCAGCCTTTGCTGGCGATAAAGCTGAAGGCCGATAAATGAACCGGAAAGGCGAGAGTTGAAGCTTGTTGTCAAAGCCTAAAGCTGTAAAAAAAAGCCTTCCAATATCTCTGTTTTTCTTTCAACTATTCCTTTTTTCGAAGAAAAAGTGGTCTCATGTTCAAAACAATTGCAAGGAAAGCAATTGACATCAATCATTTTATGACAATAATTTCATATGGTCTGAATACCTGCTACAGCAAAGCTTAATCCCTTTGATGACCAGTTTTTTTTTGTTTTAAATGTTTCCAGCCCAATGGCAGACGACATAATCCCTGACGACTACCACTCATTCCGCCCATCGTCCAATGATTCTACTAAGACCAACTGATCCATAGATTAGTCCCGTGATGTCTAAATGGGCATCTAGTCATATTTCGACCTTATCTTCTGATCCTTCAACGACATGATTATAAGAACTGCACTTTAGCGATATCTACCGAAGTAAGCAGTGTCACTTTGCTTCACAGGCCTATTGAAGGCTCAGCTGGTGACTAGAATCCCGATTATTCCCCCAGCGGTTGTATTCAGACGTCGCTTTCCCTTATGTAAAGTAACCTTGGATAGCAGCTCTGCCTTCATCGCCATTCACCTTGGGTTGAGTGAATTACCCAAACTTTTTTCCGAAGTTTGAAAACTCTGACTAAAAATCATAAAAGTAGAGCATTCCCAAGGGATCGAGTTGCGACAACATCTTCAATGTTACCTGAGTATGAGTAACCTGTGGGGTTGGGCGCAAAGTTTCTGTTACCTACATATGAAAGTATCGGATGGAGGTTGGTAAACAAGTAGTCGCTTTCAACACTCGATCTCGTCGATCAACTATTCCTTACGCTTTGCCTCCCATCGTGCCAGTGAACAACATCGTTGAAGATTTTTTCCGTCACCAGATGCTGTCACTCTTGCGGTTATACCTGACCAACATCTTCCGTAGCCGACATTTCCCTCAAGTTGATGTAGCCGGATCAATCGGACAGTCAATTTGAGCCGTCTAATACTCAGTTATTCTATTCATCCCAAAAATCCGAGTAATTCTTCTCTAATGGGGCCTGAAAATCTCAAATTCGAAGGGCCTGGCAATACCGATAGGATTTCCCATCCTAGCAGCTCCTCAGTAGGTATTGTCTGACCCCTCTAACCTTATTTCCGGTACAGGGTGAAATCTGTTG